CAGACCACTTCTGGAAAAGCATTCTTTGGACGGCTGAAATTAAGATCAACCTGTACCAGAATGACGGGAAGAAAAAAGTATAAAGAAGGCACTGAAAAGCTCAGTTCCAAAGCATAGAACATCATCTTTGAAACATGGTGGAGCAGTGTGATGGCATGAGCATGCATGGCTTCCAGTGGCACTGGATTACTGGTGTTTACTGAAGATGTGACAGAAGACAGAAGCAGCCGGAAGAATTCTGCCAAATGCAGCAAAGTTGATTGAGTGGCGCGTCATAGTACAAATGGACAATGACCCAAAACATACAGCAAAAGCAACCCAGGGGTTTTTGAAGGTAAAAAAGTGGAATATTCTGCAATGGCCAAGTCAATCTCCTGATCTCAACCGGATTGAGCTGCATTTCACTCGATGAAGACAAAACTAAAGGCAGAAAGAGCCACACACAAACAACAACTGACGTCAGCTGCAGTAAAGGCCTGGCAAAGCATCACAAAGAAGGAAACCCAGTCTCTGGTGATGTCCATGAGTTCCAGACTTAAGGCAGTCATTGCCTGCAAAGGATTCTCAACAAAATATTAAAAATGAACATTTTATTTATGATTATATTTATTTGTCCAATTACATTTGAGCCCCTGAAAATGGAGGCACTGTGTATAAAAATGATTGTAATTCATAAGCATTTTATGTTATATTTTTGTTTAACCCCTTGAATTAAAGCTTAAAGTCTGCACTTCAATTTCATCTTCATTGTTTCATTTTAATTCTATTCTGGTGGCATACAGAGACGACATTATGAAAATTGTGTCAGTGTCCAAATATGGACCTAACTGTATTTGTATGTGTATATATATATATATATATATATATATATATATACTGAAGTCTATTTTTTTATTTTTTTTTTTTTTATTAACATAATGGTGCATTAGTGTATGTGTTGAATTACTTACTATTGCTGTAACTTCTCAACAGTAGCTCTCTCTATGTTATTGCAGCTTAAGTTTTGATTAAGTTAAATGAACTGAACTTAGTGAGAGTGTAATCATTCATGTGTACAAGCAATTTTAAGTAGGAGGAGCAAGGACAATCTATAAACTGCCCTGATTACTGGACTACTGCAAAGTCTTTGTCTAAATGTGGAGCTTTTCTATGATTCTGAACCTTAAGTTAGATTTACGAAAAAAGACTGTACTGAGGAAGAACGCAGCAAGTAAATATTTTGAAGCCTCTCAAAACACAATTCAAGCCCTGTGCTGGAGCAAATTACATTATTAACAAATCCAGTAAACTGTAATGAGATGTGTTTGTGCAACTCATGTCCAAATTCTCAATAAGCACTTGAATTTCAGTTTAAGACAAAATGCATTTATTAGGGCTGGGTTTTGACACAAATTTCACGATTTGATTCAATTCTCATTCACAAGCTTGCGATTCGATTCAATTACCAATTCGATTCGATTCAATATCGATTATTTTGGATATATATCAGGTACAGTACATGCCAAATTTGCTCAAGGAAAAAAAATCTCAACTAATGCTGTCAAATATACATGAGAGTCAGTTGGTACAACATTACTATAATATTGAATGTTAAAATTAATGAAGTTTTTACAATACGAAAGTTACAGTTACATATTAATATTTCTACTTCAATTCGTTTTTTGAAATATAAACATTTAAATGGTGGCTGTCATAAAAACTTGATGGTTTTATTCAAACATAAATTAAATATTGAAGAACAGTAAAAAATTATAATGAATATGTTATATGGGGAATATAAAATGCCCCTCTCTACAGTTTATTTTTCTATCTGACTAATAAGTTTATGGTCACCGAATATGTTTTTCTGAGGTAAATGTGACGTTACATGACATTGTTTACAAGCCGTTATATTGACATCA